CACTGCTTCTGTCTTGACCTTCAGATTGCCAATTGCAGGCGTACAAGTCACTTCTACAATGCTGTCATGCACTTGCTACAGAAAGGAAAAACATCTGTTTTCTGACATGAGTTTACTACACTACACTTTTAAAAAGAAGTACAAAACCTGAAGATCCATGCTTAAAAACAGGATATGAATCCATTTTGAGAACTAAGAAGAGTTTTCTTAAAACCACTCAAATTCAGGGAGAATATTTCACCTGAAGAAAGGAGAAGCGAGACATTTTCTTGCAGAATAACATTCCTGAGACAAAGACTCTTCTGGATTGCTGAACAGTCAGAAAACACCACACAAAAATCTCAAAAAAATTATGTAATAAATGGGTAGAATTAAAATACCTATACTAGTCAGTGCATTTAAGAACAACACTTGAAATACACAGGAACTCAATCCAAACCTCTGGATCCAATTTATTCCAGAGCACTTGAAATTAAAGCTCTAAAACAGCATTCGAAAACAGTTACCATCCAGGATGATTGAAGCCAAATCAGATTTAAGGTGTTCTAGTCTTTATTTTCACCTCAAAATTTTATTTTTAGGTATCTGCTTTAAATACTCTGAACTGTTACGGAAATTAAGTCCCCAAACCCTCCCCAGCCCAATTCCTTTAGAGAGAGAGAGGGAGCGAGCACACATGCATGCACTGCCTTGCTTGGGTTGGGTTAAGTAACATTTAAATAATTCTAATCCTGCAATGTATTACAGAAGTTGCCTAAACTGAACATACTCTCTGCAATTCCCTTCTCTGTTACTTATGTTCAAGACTAGGACAATACGGGCTAAGCAGATGCCTTAAATACACACCTCTTAACCATCTTATCATTTAAACCCCTTTGGGTGTAGATACCGTAAAGTATGCTGGTATACCAAGACAGACATGACTTCAAAAAAATTATGAGGTTATGTGCATGCAAATCATTCGCATGCGCTTCTCATCCACAGCGTCTAAACCTCCACAAACTACTTCCTGTAACATTTACTCCTGAAAAAACACGGTGCCATAAATAGCGTTAAAATATTCCTTTTTGTAGTGGCTTCACTCAAGAAAACATAAACACACATTGTGCTATTTGCAATCTTTATTTCATGAATAATTAAGAAGAAAACATGGCAACATTGGCAAATTGAAGGCATACATACTAAATACTTGTACAGAATACATTATGGAGAAAGTAAATGCCCAGATCTTTAGTGGTCCTTGCAAACTAAAAGCATATTGGTCCTCCGAAAGGTTTAGCTTAAAATATGCTTGCTGACCTTTTAAGTTCCAATGATGAACAGCTTGTGCCTTTCAAACCAGAAACAGGGTGAAATACAATTTGAACATACTTCCAAATTTTCCTCAAACCTGTATTTCTCAGCTTAACCAGAAGCAAACAAAATGGTTTTTTCCTCATTACCTTTTGAATGTATACGCTAATACACCCCCCTAAGTATTCAAGACACAAGCACTTCTTGAAACATGTTCCGTTTTATTAAGAACCTGCATATGTACATATATGTATACACACATATAGATGTGTGTATATATATGCACATATATACATTTATGTAAAATCTCTCTATATATGTAAAATGTGAAAGTGTGTGTGTGTAAACCATTTGAAAAGGTTCTGGACAAGAGAAAAGTGCTTGTTGTCTAGAACAAGAATTACTAAACCCATACATGTACTGTTAGGTCAGTCTAACAGTTGTGTTTCAAGGGAGTATAAAACCAATACAAATCAGAAAAGCTGGATGGATGAGAAGAGCTTTTAAGAATCACTGTTTTTTACATCATCTTTAAAGGCCATGGAAAATAAGCTTTAAATTAGCTATTTAGGGGATATTAGTACTGGCTGCAGTGTCATCTCAAACAAGATTAGTCCTTATCCAATATCCAATACAGTGCTGTGAAGTTAGACTGAGATATCAATAACATTCTGTTCTTTCATGAAGTCCAAAATTCACCACACTGTTCTGTCAATTCTGCCTCACACCTGAACTGAAAGTACCCTCATCCAAGAGTTGGAGGGTACCAATTAATGCCCTTCTGATTTTGATCTGGAGAGTTGTCCAATATTAAATGGGATCGCCGATTTATTTCATACACATTGAACAACTCTTGATCATTACTGACCTAAAGTGAACTTACAGTCTGGAGGCTAACTAGTCTATGCTTTCTTTAGTAGTGTTATACTTTGTTTCCATTAGATAACATACAGAAAAAACATTTCTGTTCAAAAAAACCCCTTCAGATATGTATAAAAGTGCTACTTAAAAATAGTAAAATTTACCTTACAATATATGCAAAAACGGAAGTTTCTAACAAACTGAAATGTTGTAAGTTACAAGGATTAATTACTTGAGTATGTTATGTGTACTTGTGCCCTCTTTACTCAACTGATTCCCAAGTAATTATCCTAATTGAACATATGCAATAATTGGAAACCAGTAAAAGCCTCCAGAGAAACTTCAACAATGTCCTCTTTCTCCCCATTTGTTGAAATAGAGTTCAGAAACAAAACTTGACTATTCCATTATTGCAAATGCAGTCTACTGTCAAAACAGGTCAGTTCATGAACTGTGGAACCAGGACTGCCAATGGCTCCTCTGCAGCAGGAAATGTCCACTGGGCTTCCGAACTACCATATAAATACACGAGTTACATGCCATTAAAATAATACATATATCACTAGAAGGAAAATGTACGTACTAAGTTGCTATACTGGGGCACAGTAAGTTTTAAGCCTTGACTTCCCCAAACAACTTGTTCATATTCTAGAACTCTATGCAAAATACAAAAGCCTTAGAAAAGTGCAACAAAACTAGCTTCATGACATTTTTCTTTCAGTTTCCATAAATACAACCTCATAAAAATATTATTAAACAGAAACATACTTCCCAGTGGAGAACAAACATGCCACATTTCAGCTTTGAGTAAGTGATTTTGGCTAAACTGAAACCCCCTGAAAATAGGGAATTAAAATGAAACCAGCTTAATCGCATCAGGCTGCCGTAATATTCTGCCAAAAGTTTACCCTACCGTTTTGCATCCCCAAGTCCTGCTGGAACCGATGGGAACTTTATGTGCAACTCTGTGGCAGACAGTGGCCTAAGGGTAAGGAATATTCCAAGTAAAAGATAAATGTCAGTTGGAAGGAAGTCATCTGGTATTCATAGGTTTTATTGAAGTTTCAGTGTGAGGAAATAATCCTATTATCGCAGAATGAATTAATTTATGGAGACTAGGATAGTGGCCTTGTCAAACTGAGTTCAAGGGTGTTGCATCCCAAAAACTGGCAAGCACAAATACATAAGGAAAAGACAACGCTCGCATCAACACTCGTAACAGAAATCAGAACTGTACAAAACTTGATCTTTTAAGTTATTTAGCATTAATTATCAAAAGCATACTTGCTACATATTCCAGATGCTTAACATCTTGGCTTTGACAATTACAAAGTGTACTACAACACTGATACTGAAATCATAGGGAATACAACAGAAAAAATTTAGATGAATGAAGGACTGGGAATGCTCAACAAGCCAGACAGTAATTTAAAACCCATCCAGCCACTCTCCTTTGAAAGCAGAAAGACTACTGGAGATACCTTTCTAAATAGGGACAAATAAATACATTGAGATGTCTACGAACCCTTAATTCACTTAAGGAGTTGATAATTTGGGGCCAAGAACACCTGATGGACACCCTGGGGGGATGTAGGCGATATGGGAGATAAGGAAGTCATGGGAGAGTTAAGCAGCTTGAACACGTTTTGCCAGTCAACACACACTAACTTGGGAAAGCACAGTGGCATGTTCAGAACTCGTGGATGATGACTACACTTTAATACCACTTTTCACCAAATCATTTCTCAAACTGGTTAATATTACTGAGTATTCATACACTAATGCTAGCTCAAAGAAAGGAATTGCAGAAATAGAGCTTGGCAGAACATAAAAATAAAACAGAAGTAAATATTTACCACGTCAAGGGAAGGACCACAAACAAACTATATAGTTAAATCAGTCTGTACATGAACACTACTATTTTAAAATCCTCTTTCTTAGGCCACCTCAGCAAGGGTATTACTTACAATAAGCAAAAAATAGTGTAAAGGTGTACAACTGGATTCCTTCCCAGAAGAATTCTGCCCCTTAATAGCTCCTGCTCGATGCAGCCTGCAGCTAAGCTGTGGCTGTATTAGCTGCAAGAGCCAAATAAGAAGTCAAGTCACCATGTGTCACATGAACACAGTTTTAAAGGCTTAACTTTAGCCTATGCATAGCTTCACGCCAGCCATCCAGAGGGGGCAGCTTTGGAAGATATTGTCACATATCATCTGAAAACCAGACAGTGTTCCCAAAGCAGCCACAAGCAGAACACAGAAAGTAAGAAAAACACCCAGAAGTTCTCCGTATCTCCAAATTCCCAAATAATCTTGTTTAAAAACTAGGCTATAATAAAATTTGTACCCTGAGCCAAAAATGTACAGAAATGGAGAGACTTGGGTAAACGTAATTTTTTTTGTGATGCAAAAGTTGCAACAGAATCCAAGTGTCTGAAGTGTTGAATCAGGGAACTGAAAAAACAGGTAAGAACTTATCATTGAGATCATTAGCAGAAATGAGATGCCAATAAGAATTTTTTGTCACAGCTACAAGATTCTTAAGGCAGATCCTCAGCAGTTTAAACCACTGTACTGCATCATTAGAGCAAGGGACAAATTTATTTCTCCTTATGCATGTAAAACCAGAGTATGACTGCTGCCAGTAGTATTAATATGAGTTTAAACCAATACATCAAAGCTGAGTTCATTTAGCTGTGGCAAATTAAGGGGCCCCTAAAGCATGACGATGGACTTTACAGAAAACCACAAACAGTGGAAACTTTTTACAAAACTGGAGACAAAAAAATATCAGAAATGCTACATGTAACTTGAGGAATATATTTTATGCAAAAGAGACAAAAATTTACTTTTACATCAGAATATGCTGTAATTAAATACTATATTCTGGATAACCTATCCACAAACACAAATTTAAAAGGGACAATTTCACTCATGATTTTTCAGAGGCATGAGAATGAGAGATCTTTGTGAAGGCCACTGAGATTCATACCAGAGATACTCAATTAGTGTATCTATTTAAATATACAAGACAACCAAATCAAACTGGCTCAAACAAAACCAACTGAAAACCCAATCAAGCGTAATCCATTCTGAAGTCACCTCAGTTCTGTTATTGTTAGACACTCCACATCAAAACTTCTCTGACAAAATTTTCCTGAATAACCAAAACTAAATTTTTCCTCCCATCCCTTCTTTTTTGGTAAAGAAAACCCCACAATGTCCATTCAGTTCATTGCTGATGGTCTTGCATCAGGATGACAACTAGCCAAACCGAATACACATCTGGCCCTAAACTGACCTCTCTAATTTATGGAAGTGTTTCAGTAAACAGGATCCAGAAGATGATATAGCTGTTGCCCACCCCACCCCTACAGCTGGCAATGAGTAACCCTGATATGCTACAGCACAGGCATTTGCAAGGCACATATTAAAATGCAATAATATAAGTCGATGATAAAATATTTGTCCTTTTTTTTAGTACATTCAGAAATATTTTCTGGATTAAAAAGAAACGAAAGTACATCAGCATAAACTTGCACTTCATATGTACAAAAAACCAGGCTGTTTCAGGATTAACTACGAGCAGGAACCAAACAGAACAGTATCATCCACGTCCAGAAGGGCTACAGCTATTCTTCCTCTTGAAAAACTTAATGCTATTTGAACCTTCAGAAAAAACTTGTTGTAGAGTGCAGCAGGGCATTATGTTTGTTTTAGATATTCCATTGCTTCATTACTTCCACTTGGACAGCTGTACAGCATTTTATATATAAAGGCTCAGATACATCATTATAAAAAAACCCCACCTCTTCATGGAGCCCGACATTCCTTTACAGATATGAATTCAGCAGAGGTTTATCAGACAGATCACACCAAGAAGTTTACAGAGCTCTGAAGTTGAAAACAAGATCATTTTTATAATTCCTAATAACTTTTCTCTCTCTCTCTGAAAACTAGCAGCTCATCTTTTTAACAGAAAGTATCTGGAAAATGTGATTTCCCCTTTTACAAATGGTTATTCTATTAGTGTTATTTCAGTTAAGGACTAATACAACATTCCAGGTAAATGAACTTGACCATTGGACAGAAAAAAATCAGCTTAAAGCTCAAATTACTTTAACAAAACAGGTCATGAGTGAATTTAGACCAAGAAATGCTATCTTTTTCATTAGAAAAATATTTTCTTAAAATCTAAGGCAATGAATAAGACAATCATAGATAAGGATGTCTGTTCAGAGGATGAACAGAAGGTTTTTTAAACACAAATTGGCAAAACCTGGAATTTAGTAGTAAGAGATGGCATGTGAGACAGCAATAATGTGTATTTCTAACAGGACTATTCTTATTGAAACTTATCTGAAGAAATGAAGTAAACAAAAAATTTTGAAGAAATATACAGGAGAGGAAATTGTATTTCAGACTTTTATTAAAATCTGTTAATGAAGGTTTTTCACTTGAAGCCTCTCTTGCAGCAATGGTCTTTAGATTATGTTGGCTCTTCAAATGCACCAATTAATAATCTGAGGGTATCTAGCTACTTTTAGGGTTCTAAAGAACTGTAAGAATGTATGAGACACTGCTGCTCTGAAAACTTCTCCAAAGGCCCTCATCATGGATTAAGTAGTTATTTTGCAAATTTTCATAATTGCCACAGGCACGTATCAGTGTAAGCAGATATTTTTATAAAATGCTAGCTGCTAGAGACATGCTAAATTATTACTCTTCACATGGGCTATATTCTTCAGATGATAGGTTTTTGGATTTGGCAATAATTTTGAGTTAAATCTGTGCTTTTATACCATGATGAAGTTTCACAGATGCCAAGCACAGTTGCATTCACTGGGTTAACATCTATGACATTCAAACTGTCCTTAACAGTCATAAGAGCACCATAGGAATGGCAGATTCATTTTCTTTATAACAGGGTTACTGTGTTGAAAGAACATGTGCTTATAAATAGCAGTTGTTACAGAACTCACTTCTAAAGTAGGCTTCTGCTTAATATTAATGAGAGATGTTCAACTGTGGCTTAACTGCTGATAAGTATTCAGAAAAATAAGAGGCAGAAGCAATGGTAGAGTGAAGTCTTCCCTTGATTTGACAAACAAGATTACAACAAACAGCTTATGACAAATGGATGTATGAAATCGTTCTGAGCCATTAACATTCTGCACAAGGCCCTGCAGTGCCAGGATGTATCAATTCAATGATCGCTAAGGCACTTACTTGAACTCTTTTGCCCGAGAGCTGTTACATGAATTCAGGTACATTTTAGGAAAATAGAAGTTCAGCAGACTAAAGTTTTCAATTCCTTCCTTGTGACAGTGAGTCATTTCCACGCAATATTCGAGACTACTGGGTGTATACACATTACATCAGTTTCTCCATAGTTCTTGTCAGAGAACGTCTCACCTTCTGTCAGTCGGATGAGGGTGTGCAAGATCAATCAGAAACACACAGAAAACATGGCAAAGCTGGATTTTGAGACAAACTACTTCATTATTACGTCTTATTGAAAATATCTTCTCTGCAGAGGAAATGCTATCCCAGTTCCAAAATTCTACCACAGAATTCCATGATGTATGCTCGTATTGCTGTAGAGTAAAGCCTGGAGTAGCTGTGCGTGCTATACAGGCAAAGGAGGAAGAGGGGGAAGAACAAGCTGTACACAAGGGTGGATTATTGATTCATTTCTGTTATAATGGAAGCACAGGGAGTTTGGACAGATTCCTTGAAATACAGCGTACCCTGAAAACCAGGAGCTGTACGTGCTAGTCTTTACAATCCGTAAGATAAAGTTGGAAGCCACATCATTGTGACAGAGGTAGGCTTATAATGAAACTTTAGAATGAAGAGTTCTTCTGTGCCAAATTTTTCGAGGTATTGCGAGCACTTTTCCACTCAATTTGTCGCTATGGAATAAAAGCTTGTTTTCCTAGAATATTGTGCACATTTTAAAGGAGGGAAAATAGCTGTAAAGGCAGTAACTAAATTACCATTAAGAACTCTACTATATCAGGGTGCCATATGCTGTGGGTAGAATATTCAGACTCTGTGGTATCAGGACGCTACAGAAAGTTTAGTAATATGATGCCATGTTATCCTTTTCCTTCTCAGAGCTTTAGCTGTACATTCAGTCTCCTATACGCTAGAGGATCCATTCATCTCACTCTCCTAGGAAAGAAAGCTTCAGGAAGTCTGGCTGGAAAGGCAGCACATAAGTAGTCCGGGCTCTTTAGGCTTCATAATTAATCTGAATAGCTTAATAACTTGGGTTATTCCAAGCACTGTGGCAACAAGTTCTTGCTTTTAAACAGTTGTTTCCAGGCTTAGTAGCTGAAGCGATCTGAGGCAATCCAGGATAGTGTCACTGAAGTTTGAGGGGACTCAAATGTTGCCAGTTTTCAGTGAACTGGGGATTAGCATTTCAGTAAGATTTCCATCTTGTAGCTCACGTTGGTTCTATCCCATGGATCTGTTGAATTATTAGGGTTTCAGGTTTCAAAGTATTTGTAAATTGCTGTAACATACAGCATGACATTCTGCCAGTCTGGACGCTCAGTTCGCACCATTTCATTGATGTCCTGTCACGGAAAATAGATTGGTCAAAATCAGGAATGATAACCTTGCGAGTAACGTGGTAGTGTTTTTACAAATTCCTAGGAATGGTAAATCTGTAAAGTTTCCACAATTTAAAGTGCTGATGAAGAAAGCTCTGTTTTCTTCCATACATCTTTGTATTACTTACAAAACGTAAACAGCTATGAGTAGCATATGTGTAGATAGTTATTTTGTTGACTTAAGATCAAAATGTCTAATGCTGTGCATACTTGAGTTGTCCCCCACTTAGTACAATTAGTATGGTAGTCAGGACTTTAGTGTTCACATAACCCTACACCAACCTCGCAAGTCAATGCAATCTATCTAGGAACTGTCAGTCACAGAATCAAGGCCCAGATATTAATTGAAACTAAAGTTCAAAATTCATAGTAGGGTAAGAGTCAAGCATCAATAAATAATTGAATCTCATTTTACAGTAGACTACTGAACTTTAGATTACTTTATACTTATTTTTGTAAAGAGGCAAGGAAGAAGTAAGTTAACTTTACTACCAATTTGGGTATATCCAACAGACAAAGCGTTCAGTGTCTAACTGATAGGCCAGTTCACACATATTTCATAGTAACGGTATACCAGATTGTCAGTGAATAAGCAGGGTAAACAAAGCCTGATCTACCCTTTTCAGCCCATGTACAAAGGAAAATAGAGTGATGTAGTCTCTAATAATTTTTGTTTACTGTAAGGGTCTATTTTGTAAGCTTTAGGCCCAGGAACCTCCAGAACTCAAAAAAGAGAAAGTAATTGTTTTTAATTCTCCACATGAAAGTACCTGAACACTTTCTTATTCAGGGAACAAAACTTCCCCTTACATTACCACTACTATTTACACACAGTAGTTTTCACACCCTTTTTCACCCTCCACCCATGCAATATGGACAAGGAAGAAAATCCACAAACATACACATCGTACACACTGCCTATCTAGGTATGTAAATAGACACTAAATCCTTAAGATGGATACAATTTGCCCTTAGAAGATTTAATTCTTTTTAGAATATCTGTAGTTAAGTACATTACAAAAAGAAAGGACAGACAGCAACCGTTTAGACTAAAGTCGAATTATGTAAGAATTACTGCAGTTATTTTCCACAATCTAGTTCTTACATCAGCACTGGGTAAGAAACTTCCAGGTTTCAAATCACTGACAAAGTCTAAGCACTAAAGCCCGACAGTTGCACTGCTATTGTCAGCAAATACAATGCTGGGGGGTAAAGGCTCTGATAAGGATCAGGGAAAGTGTTATTTTTAAAACGTCTGACTTCGTTGTATTATTAGTTGCTAACTCTGGCAGCTTTGTTAGAATTCAGGTTACAAAAGTATCGCTTCAGTATCATTTCTGATACTGGCAATTTTAGCCTAATTTTTGTGATTATTCACAAGGGCTTGGGATACTCCCAATTCCATACCTTCAGAAATCTTCCTTTTCTAGTAAATACTATACTATTGAAAACTAATTCTTTTAAGCTAAAATTTGTATAAGAAAGCTTATTATAAACAATAATTGAAAAAAACCTTTCAATTATTTACAATGATGACAAACTAGAAGTCTAAACTTAAGATTTAAAATCTTGACTCTCGTATTACACTGAGCAAAAGAACAAATTACATAGCTTGATTTGTACCTCCAGAATTCCAAAAAACCCAAATAATTTGAAAGCAGATCAGAAACAGGAGAGAACTAATGAATTCTTGAAGATTGTATCACATAACTATTTTTCAAATTACTCTCAAACAAATCCATTGCCTTTATTATTATTTCTTATGATACTGAGAGATGAGTTTTGGTGAATCTTCCTTTTACAGCTTAAGAGTTTATCTGCTATAGGCTATCATGCTGTTGCCTTTGCTGCAGCTGCTGGAGTACAGGTCTGTATCTCCGTCACTATTTAATGCAAAAAACAGGTAAGCTTAAGTTGTTGACGACAGTGGGTTTATTAAACAAAGCCACTGAGGTAGGGAGTATCTTTTACGTTTTTCAGTCAAGTATGATACAGGGGCAATAACCTCTAGCTGAACTCACCTGCTGCTATTTTTAAGTATAAAGCATCAAAATCTTTCAAAGTACAAAATAGAGTAATTTGTTTTTTTTTTATAAATGGGACATAATTCATTCAGTATGCATTTAAAACTTACCAGAGTAGATTTGATGCCAACACTTTCAGCTGCCTGAAAAGCCAAAGTGAAATTTCTTCTCTGCATGAGATATAAAACCATGTTAGAATCCAAGGAAACACTACTTCAAACATAATAAAGTGGTGTTAAGAATGTTCATAGTAATGCTGCTACTTTCGATTCAAATGGAGTCTATAATTTGACCATACTAATTTAAAAAGAGCCATAGGAATGAACATGTCCTAATATCATCCAAAAATTTATGGAAAATTTTTATTAATTCCTCATTCAGCAGATCGTGCTGAAAAATCATTGTCAGTGAAGAGTGACTGAATTATAAAATGCTAAAGAATAAATTGTTTATTCTTTAAAAAGCATAAATAAAAAATCTCTTCACGTCTTATATTTTTTTAGGAATTATCATTAATAATACATCTCCAGATAACATACCAGTAGATATTACCTATAGCACACTAGAATACACACATATCACTTGAGAATAGTATCACAGTCACTTATGAGTATGAGAAAGTAGGATGAAACAAAATCCTTGTGATATTGAAAGAGATAAACAAAACATTTCAAGATACAAAGTCGATGGATTTAAAATCTTTAAGCTTAAACACTTCTTGCTTCCAAAACGCAAACTGAAAACACTTCCCAACTGTTTGCGTTGGGATTGCCTCAATAAAATGCCTCAGACTTAAATTTATGACCTTCTGTGTTTTTTTTTTTCTCCTTATATCTGTTCCAAAGTTCTGTTTAACCCAATAATCTCATAATATTAAAAGGTTATAATAAGAATAGCAGCAAGGTAGTTTGAAGTGTTTCAATTATGATTCCTAGTAATATTGCGGTTTTTAGAACTGAAATTTGTTCATTCTTCTTTATTAACCCCTATTAATTATATAGTCTCGCAGTCCCAGGAATGGGATTTTTAATGTCGTACCTTGTCCTGGCTGTTTAGTTCTTGATAGGGAATATGGGCTGGGAGGTAAGTATGGAGGACTGCACAGAAAGCCAAGCCATCATTCCAGCTACTGCTGAAGTTTGTTATGTCGATATTCTTGAAGGAAAAAAAAATACAAACAATATTAAAATCATAATCTAACAAGTATTAGTTCTACCAATCCACCAATACTTGTAGGGGTTTTTTGTTGGTTTTTGGTGGTGCTTTTTTTTTTTTTTTTACTATCTTTGAAGAAATCAGCAGAGAAAGCAAACAGCCTAATACTAAAGTTCTGTGGTAAGAAACCAAAATCCACTGCTACAGAGAACAACAACAAAAAAATTCAGTGATAAGAAAGTCAGTTATCTTGTATATTAATTCAAGATAATATTAAGCTCCCCCTCCCCACCCCCCAAAAAAAACCCCCTGCAAAATGTGTGTATTAAAAGGTGTAAGATGTGCTAGAGAGGGTAAGAGTATAGATTTGGTATGACTGTACACACCAAGATAGAAAAGCAAACGAGTTAGAGGTGTATGCCTAAAATCCCTGAAACAGACCATGTGGTAGTATCTCTGTTAAAGTAAGATTTTACTTTTCTGCTTCCATTGCATTAATATCCAGACAAAATTTCTAACTGAGGACAAGTATTTTGTTTTCTAAAGAAACCATTTCTATACAGAAACTTATGTGAACAAGATCACAAACAAAAATTAAGTTTCAGTTGGAAATAAAGATGTTCCAACAGATTTAACACTGACAGTGGCAGGGAATCATTATCTTTGGGATTGGAATTGAAATTGAAAAATGCAGTCTTGCACTCTTGATCTTTTAGTTCCAGTAGGAAACTCAGTGGCACTGGTAAATGCATCTCCTGAGACTGTATGTATTATTGTAAAAAGAGTCAGCCCAGTCCAAAAGAGTTATGAACAAGATGCCTCAGTGACCTTTTAAATTACTGTATACTTGGCTGTTGGCAGTCGAACAATGGTAAAGAGGCTAAGTGGATAGCAATCAGTTTAAACTTTAATTAAGAAACAACCAGTAACAACAACTCACAGTTTATCTTTTAGACCTTTATGGAGAAATATAAATATGCTTTAATATCTAACTCACTTAACTGGGCTTAAGCAGAAGCTAACCAGCTCCCCTACTTAGTTTTTAAAATTTTAATGCAGCAGGTACTATAACCTCCAGTCACAGAATTGCAGAAACAATCACACAAGTCAACGCTTCACCTGACAGCAGTTTAATAGTCATCACCTGTCTTTGACAAGACACTAAAACTTGTCATTCCTAATGCAGAAAAATCCACCAGGAATCAGTGTTACTGTGCCACGCAGGCTGGGAACGAAAGCAGCTGTATTTCTTGTCAAACGAATTATTTGAATTACAAATGGAAAACAACTGCAATCCCCTCCAACAGAGGAAAAAAACAAAACTAAAGGCAATTTCTAGAAGAATGTGAGGGAAATCTCCATTTCCTGCTCAGCTTTAGCACTTTTTATACAAAGTCCACCAAATGCAGGTTCAGACTCTGGTGACGTAAGCGTACGTGCTCAGGCTCACAATGCCCAAGGCAGTGGTCTGAGCCTCGCCTGCCGTCCTGCTGCCTGCTTGCAAACGGAAATGTCATTGTTGGAGACCCCCAGTCTGTGGGAACATGTTCTTCACACAGCTTCCTCAAGCCACAGGGGTGGGAAAATTTAAAAGCAAAAGAAAAAAAAAAATGAAGCTCTCCCTCCTTTCTCCTCAAGAGAGACAGGAAATTGGATTTAAATTAATGCTTGGTTAAAACTTTTTCAATGTTACTTAAATTAGGCAAACAAATGCAACACACAGTACAAGGCTTTTTTGTATCAGAAATAGTGTGGCCAGCAGGAGTAGGGAAGTGATCGTCCCCTGTACTCGGCACTGGTGAGGCCCCACCTCGAATACTGTGTTCCGTTTTGGGCCGCTCACTGCAAGAAAGACACTGAGGTGCCAGAGTGTGTCCAAAGAAGAGCAACGAAGCTGGTGAGGGGTCTGGAGAACAAGTCTTATGAGGAGCGGCTGAGGGAACTGGGGTTGTTTAGCCTGGAGAAAAGGAGGCTCAGGGGAGACCTTAGCGCTCTCTACAACCACCTGGAAGGAGGTTGTAGCGAGGTGGGTGTCAGTCTCTTCTCCCAGGTAACAAGCGATAGGACGAGAGGAAACAGCCTCAAGTTGTGCCAGGGGAGGTTTAGATTGGATATTGGGAAAAATTTCTTCACCGAAAGGGTTATCAAGCATTGGAACAGCTGCCCAGGGAAGTGACTGAGTCACCATCCCTGGAGGTATTTAAAAGACATGTAGATGTGGTGCTTAGGGACATGGTTTAGTGGTGGACTCGGCAGTGCTAGGTTAACAGTTGGACTTGATGATCTTAAAGGTCTTTTCCAACCTAAA